TTTACTTAGCTAAATCCAGGTGGTGATTTTTCTTATGGAGCAAATATTCCCCCCAGGTCTCCTGCGCCAGCAGCCCTGCTGCCTCAGCTGTCACACACACACCACACGTGTCAAGCGGCTCCCGCAGGGTGATGTGTGTGTGTGTGTGTGAGAGCTGAGGCGGCGGGGCTGACAGTGTACCGATATGAGCGATGGGAGGGTAGGGGCCGCTTGTACTACTTATAGAGCCAGCGAAGCAGCGTTATTTACCTCTTCCATAATGCAGCTGCCCGTGCTGCCGCTGTCTAACTTCTGTGTCTGACCGACTTGTCACCTTCCTGTGTCAAGGCACATAACAGGGAAAGGGAGGAGTCTCAGTATGCAGAAGTTAGACACAGGCAACACGGGCAGCGTCTTATGGTCAGGTGCGTCTTATGGAGCAATGATCGAGCGGCAGGCGGGGAGGAGAGCGGAGCCGCTATCCTCCTGTCAGTTTCGGGACGGCAGCGGCTCCCCCTCTCGGATCCGCCACTGACATGCACACCCGACCTGCTGGACTGACCGGAAGTGACGGCACGTCACCAACGTGACGTCACTTCCGCCCTCAGACGAGCAGCGTTGTTGATGGGGCCCAAGCTGGAGTGGCAATGCTGGGGCCCTGCGCTGCTAGGGCCAATCCTCCATCCCCGGCTGCTGCGGGGGCCCGGCCGCCTCCTCGCCCTTCACCGTCGGCCGATACTCATGTATAGGTCCCGAGCGGGCCCAGGAGGCTGCCCGGGCCCCTTACATGAGTATCGGCCTACCCCCCTAACGGCGGCCCTGGTGGCAAGACTGGTACAAGACAACAGAAGGGCAACAGTGCAGTGTCAGATTCCTCGCATCACCTTTCAACATCTCGTGGAGTCACGAGGCGGCCCAATTAAGTCATCTCGTGGAGTCATCTCGTGGCCCAACGAAGTACTGATGGGGTGGTCATAATAATCTGGCCACTCAGTGTACTTAATAACTCTTAGCCTTCTTACCACACAGCTTAATCATCGAAGCTGTACTCGAGGAAACCTTAGGACTGCATGATGTACAAAGCAGAGACGACAGCACCTCACACTAAACTTTATACATCTAATGGATCATTTGTAGTCAAGTTGAATCACGTCACATTTCCATGGTTAACACTGTGTCCTCTGTCCTTCCTTATTATTTTGTTTTGATGGAAACACTGGGAGCTTAATTCCATGACATTCTGGTGACCATATTGTACAACACTTTGTGTGTTGACTTCTGCAATGACATCACTGGAACGCTTGCACAGGCAGCGCTGACAAGAAAAAAAAAGAGGAAACTTGGACTGAATAAGCTCTGGCTCTTTTTATATACTTTTTATATGTTTTTATTTCAGCGGTGTTATATAAATTTGATGAAACCGTGCCACTTCACATTTCGTTCAAGAACATAGTTGTAGTTATATCCAGTTTTCTGCAGTCAGTAAAACCTTTGGAATGTTTACTTTTTATTATGTGCTTTATATAATCATATATAATTATATAAAATATTTTCCATTAGCACATTACTTGTTACAGTTCTGACACTAACCTATGAATCAGTTATAAGTGGTTGGCCATTGGCTGGGGAGATGCAATTACCACCAGTATCTTAGGTGGTTTTTTTAAACACCTTTTTCTGGGTCTTTTTTTGCATTCTATTATTTCCCATAACCTGTTCTGTGCTGATGGATTTTCATGCTGTGACCTTCTTTGCCAGAATCATTTTGATGATTTTTCCTAGCCGTTCGGATTGTTCAGTTTATAAGATTTAAAGCGCCACAATTCTTATGGGTAATTTTATTTTACCTATGGCCTATATTACCTTTTATTTTTATTTTACTTTATTAAAGTGATATTTCACCTCTACACTTGAGGAGAAAAAAAAATAAAGTTAGAGCTGCCTGACGCACAGTATGATCATGCTTTTTTATACATATCTTATTTTAATTCCGGGAAGAATGAAACTTATCCCTTGCAGTTGGGCTACCTCTACATTGCAAGGGTTAAGTGCTTGTTTTCCTCTAGGGAAGGGTTTCTCAAACTCAATTTACTCGGGGGACCCTGGAAATATGTTTTAGTCCTGTGGGGGCCGCTATTATAACCAGTACCAGTGTTAATGTCTGCACATGTTACAAGCGGCAACTGTCACCCATTCAAGTTAATGATCGGGTGACAGCTGCTGCATGTAAACGGCTGCACACCACATGTAATCATATGTGATACGATTACATGTAGTTACAAAAACAATCGCTATCCCTGGATACACAATTGTGTTTATAAACTGCGCCTTTTCTATAATAAACTCGAGCATGATTAGACTTACAAACTGTGTCTGTCTATGATTGCTTCCCGGAGCTCTGTATAAGGATTTCTCTGGTGTGTCTGGTTCTGAGTGGTCTTCAAATTAACCCCTTACACTCTGTGTGAACACTGAGACGGGAGAGCTCTACACACAGCCTTCCCATCTCAGCTGTCACAGGAGAGCCAACACAGTTCTGTGCTCAAACTCCTGTATTGGAAGTGACATTCTATGACAAATAAACACGTGCACATAGGGCATGCATGTGTACATAAACAACTATTTCGCCTCACACATGTTGGGTATCACCGTATCACCTTGGGGTTTTTTTTTTTCATAATATAATGTTTTCACCTATTATTTTCCATCTCACTGCTGCTGATCTCCTCCGGCCTCTTTTAGGCTCTTCCTGTCTACATTCTCTCCCTCCATTCCCATATACATTATATGTCATTGCTTTGCTCTGGACCAGCTCCCTCATGTGACAACGGCGGACTGTGCCAACACAATGCATGTCGGCACAGTCGCTTGTAGTCTCCACCAGGAGCTGGGTGTGGGATGTGACTGGGTGACAAAGCGGGAGCAGAATTGTGAGTCCATTGTCACCCCAAAACAGGAAGTGCCTGAACTAGGACCTCCATGGCAAGATCAGCAGATATTATTTTAATAAAAGCTGCCAGTTTAAAAGGACTGAACATGACTAAAGCTTGTATGAGATTTTAATGATTGGGCTTACATACTGTGTATGTTACTGTTGCATGTAGGTAAGATGAAGTATGTTCTTATGGCCACATTCACCCTAGATGCGTTGGCATGCACTAGGCTGCGTCTTCTGGTTAAGACAAAATGCACAGACGTGAGCAAATGGCTTGTAATGAGATCTATTCATAGCAATGCATTGTTATGGTGCGTTAGGTAAAGAAAGGGACTGTTGGTGCACATTTTCAGTTCAAGTCAATTCACTGGAGTCTTCGAAAATGCACAAAACTCCCCAGTAATGTATCACACATACAAATGCATTAACATGGATTTAAAGTGGCCCTAGAATGTGATATATTTTTCATGTAGTAGTTTTAAACTCTCAAACATTTTTCAGTAATGAATCCAAATATCCTGAACATCCTGTTGAGTACAAGATAACAAGGTAGAGAGCAGTCTCCAGCAGATGTCCATCTACTAGTTTCCAGAAGGGAGGAAATTGAAGGGTGGAGGGAAGTGTCTTGACTTGCTGTGTCTGTGTATTTATGGAGACACACACATCTTACTAGCACACACAAGGGTGGCTCCATAGGGCCCTGCATGGGAAAGGAGACACCCTAAAACAGGAAGCCGGCACCAGTGCTCAGCGGATCAGCCGATTCTGCAGGAAACTAAAACCTTTAATGTAATTACATCCCTCAGAGATCTCAATGCTTCCCCTGCAATGCCTTGGGACTTGCTACAAAGTGACAATGTTACAGTCTGAGGACTGGGGGAGAGAAGAATGAGGAAATGCTTCCTCCTGCCAGCAGCAGACTGATGACATCATCTCAGCCTAATCATAACCACTTCACTGGAGTTGGGGCATGTTCACTCCAATACAGTGCATTAATCGCATAGTTGCATACAATTAATGCACTCTTTTGCGCATTGCACCTATTGTGCATTACAGTGTGGGAGGTGCATTCCATTGTCATTCATTTGCATTGCACCTCCCACCCACAATTCACTCGACCATGTCACAACGAGCAGTCCGTGCAATGTGTTATGGATAAAAAAAGTAGTGGGCATTATCAAGCGTATTGCGAGCAGGAGGTGCGTCTGGGGTGCCTTTCAAATGAATACCATGTTGTACGGTAGCGAGCATTAATCACAAAATTAACACACTGCATTGGTGTGAGCAGGCCCTTAAAAAAGAACTGTGGGGGTAACCTTTTTATGTCATAGTTCTGTTTAGGGTCACGGGAGGACATATACTAATGTCCTCCCGTGACCCAAAGCTCAGTATATAGCGGCCTATTGTCGAGATCCGCCCAACTGGCTGATTGACATCTAGACTATCATTGACTATCTAGAGGCAGAGCCAGCTGTGCCCGCCCCCTGCCCCGTTCGTTCCTCCAGTCAGCACTGGAGGAGGGGAGGGGGGGAATCCCTGTGGGGAGCGGTGACTGCCAGTCACGGCTCTCTGCAGGGAGATGATTGTGAAGTGAGCAAACAACGACGCGTATGTGTTCACTCACTTCCCGATCTATAGAGCCGATGTGTGACAGCTTCTTTGTCACATGTCGGCTCTAACTATGAGGATGAGTGGAAATCACTTACCTCATAGTTCTCCTTTAGGGCTGGTTGTTTAATGAATAAAGGTGCAATTTTTCAGAATGATGCTGTTGCTATACATTGTAACACATCAAGAATGTATTTGTACAGACTTGTGAAGTTGCTGGAAGGTCGCTTTGAAGGTTTTGTACAGCGTTATCAAACACATCATTTTTTCCTGCAGATTCACATGGATTTTCTGTGTGTTTTTTTCACATGCATTTAAAATCAGAAAACAGTTTCATTCCCAGCATGGATTCTCAGCTCCTATGATGCATTTGTCACATGTACTACAGCACATTTGTGTGATTTTACCAAGCTTCTTTGTAGAATTCAAGTGTAGAGATTATTTGCTGATGGTGATGATTTGTGCTCTTATTTTCTAGTTCCTTTGGCAGCTTACAAGTGGCTGGTGTGCTACCTTCTTCGGGAGAGTTATCAGAAGCTCCAACAAGAGAGGCAAAAGGCCACCAATGACTTTGATGCAAGAAACAATAGTCAGGTAGAGAATATTATTAATATTTTTATCCCTCCTTGTCCTGATTTCTTCTTATCTTTTTCCAGTATTTGGCACTGTTGACTACCTTCTTCTACTGCAAACTTTGTACTGTCCTGACATAAAGTAGAAATGAAGCCAAACCTTTTTTTTAGTTTTACATGGAGAAAGGGGGAGTTATAACCCCTGTCATTTATTTTGCCATCTTTGTCCCATTGGGGAAATTTCCCTTAAATTTTTTTCTGATTGCCACAAAAGTTAATCCCTCCAAAGTGAAGGAAATCCCTGGTGGTCAGCTGGGCCACCAGAAATAGTGTCCCCATTGGAAGATATCTCATCTATTTCTGTCCTGGTGATAACCCAAAAGAGAGGGTGAATCTCCTTAAGGGGGACACAGACAGCAATAAAAATCTGACAGGTGTTCTAATCCCTCTCCATTCTATCCAAAACTAAAAAGAAAAATTGTCTTTAGTTGCACTTTAAAGGAAAACTCAGTATACACGCACCACCTGCTGCAATATTTTCTGTCCTTATTTTAACTGCTTCCCGGCCTGCCATTGCAATTAAACGGCCAGCCGAGAGCTTCTTGGATGTAACAAAAAAGACAGCCTGTTAGCCCCGCCCACTCGTGCACGCCGTACGGTGCGTGCGAGCCGGAAACTGTCAAAACAATGTCTGTTGACATATAAGCGATCCAGTGGCTATAGAGCCACTGGATCGCTTGTATGAGGTGCAGGTAGGTTGCCACCCCCTCCACAGTGCTGGTCCCGAGCTCCACTGTGCCCAGGGCGGGCCGGGACCAGCACGGCAGCTCTGTGACAGGGGATCAGAGGGAGGTCAGCACACAATCTACCTCCGATCCCCTCTCCGGTGTCAGAATGCACGATGTGATGTATATTACATCACATCCACATTCTGCTGTCACTCTCCAGCTACAGAAGCTGATGAAGCAGATGTCTGCTTCATCAGCTTCTTTGAGGGTCCCAAGGTGATATTAGGGGTCTTAAAGTTTCCTGATGTCTCCATAAAGAGGACCTGTCACATCCTCGTTGCTTCTTAGCCCCCTATGTGATAACAATAAAGTTAAGTGAAAAAAAAAGTTTACGAATATTTAAGTTCCAGAAAAAGTCACACATAAAAAAGCACAAAACATGTTTTTAAGTCCCCACCCCCACATACACGCAAGCAAACATGCGTCGGGTGTGCATACGTGCGAAAACGACGATTGCGCCAATTACACCGAACATGTTGCATATCGAACGTCAGAGTGAGGGCAATAATTTTAGGGCCATCAATCACTGAACACATGTAACACACATCATCTGGTTTACTGTTTTGTTTTATTCATATTTAGGCAAAAATTTGTATATTAAGCGTTGATAGTCATAATATCTTCAAAATGTCAGTCACTGTTGTAGTGATGTGCTGGCTTCACTGTACCCCTCCAACCAGCCAGTGCAGAGCAGAATTGAAAAGACAAGGGATGGTCATATGATCTCTTGGTTTCACCAAATCATAAGGTAGAAAATGTCAAATAAAACTTGAAGTATGTCTAAGTTAGAACGTTTCTTTTACATTTGAATTGAGCAGGAACGGTTAAAGCCCATGTCAGGTTTTTTGGTTTTTTTTTTGCCATCTGTGTCCCATTGGGGAGATTTCACTTCACTTCACTTTCTGTTCAGTAGACAAAACAGGAAGCCACATTAAATATTTCCAAAGAGAGGGAAATCCAGAGAAATAACCTTTCTGATAGCTGACACCTAAAAAAGTGTCAGCGTTTGAAGATTTTCCCTCATATTCAGTAATGTGACAGTAGGTGTCAGGACAAACAAAAAAGGTGAATCTCTTCAGCGTGGACACAGACACAGACAAAATGTGAAACTTTCATAGTGGCAATGTGCCACTGAACCACCAGTGTTAAATAGACTTTCATTTTTGGACTCCCTGGATCAAAATATTTATTTATTACCATTTAGTAGATATAACTTAAATTTTTCTATTGCATAAAAATGTAATACTTTTTGGCCATTACACCCTATGCAGTAAAGTATTTCAGCAACTCTAACTGTACACCAGTGGTGAAATCTTTCTTCTGTGTGAAACTTGTGTTTTTTTGTACAGTCTTCTTCGTCACTGTTCTCTGCAGGGAGATGATCGGAAAGTGAGCGAGCAACGGTATGCGTTCGCTCACTTCCCGATCAATAGAGCCGACCTGTGGCAGTTTCATTGTCACACGTTGGCTCGAACTATGAGGTTGAGTGAAAATCACTCACCTCGGTGTTCATAGTTCTCCTTTAAAGTAATTTTCATCCATATTATGAATTTAGCTGCTCCATACTGGACTCCATATTCTAGGTGTAGCCTTTACAAGTGATCTATACAGAGACAAAGCGATATTACCATTGCATGTTTTCATTCCCATTTTTTAAATCCCAGACTTCCCAATACCAAAACGTCACAAAGGTTGATATTTATTCACTTTCTTAGATGCCCCATGCAAAAAAAAATGTACTTTACTTTTTACATGAAATTAATTTTTTTGTCAATTAAATTAAAATCATTTAACCTACTGCTTCTTTTTTTAGGTATATTACTGTAGAACGTTGGCCCTGGCATTCATTGAGCATACAGTACTACAGAGATACTATGAATACACTCATGACTCCAGCACTCCTATCTCCCTGCAACCAGTCCTGAGAAAGCTCTGTACACTGTATGGATTGTGGTCCTTAAGCAAACATATGGCAGTACTCTATCAGGGTAAGAGAGAAATGTTCGGTGTACATTATCAGGGCAAGATTGAAATGATGGGATACTCTACCACTGGCAAGAGTAAAATAGTGGTGGTGCTCTACTGGGGTAAGAGTAAAATAGTGGTGGTGCTCTACCAGAGTAAGAGGAAAATGGTGGAGGTGCTCTGTTAGGGTCAGAGGGAAATGGTGGTGGTGCTCTACCAGAGTAAGAGGAAAATGGTGGAGGTGCTCTGTTAGGGTAACAGTGAAATGCTGTGGGTACTCTACTAGGATAAGAGTGAAATCGAGGGGGTACTCTATCAGAATAAGAGTGAAATGGTGGGGGTCCTCTATCAGGGTAAGAGGGAAATGGTGGGGTGCTCTACCAGGGTAAGAGGGAAATGGTGGGGTGCTCTATTAGGGTAAGAGGGAAATGGTGGGGGTGCTCTACCAGGGTAAGAGGAAAATGGTGGAGGTGCTCTGTCAGGGTAACAGTGAAATGCTGTGGGTACTCTACTAGGATAAGAGTGAAATCGAGGGGGTACTCTATCAGAATAAGAGTGAAATGGTGGGGGTGCTCTACCAGGGTAAGAGGGAAATGGTGGGGGTGCTTTATTAGGGTAAGAGGGAAATGGTGGGGGTGCTCTTTTAGGGTAAGAGGGAAATGATTGTGGAGCTCTGTCAAGGTAAGAGGGAAATAGTGCGGTAACTCTGTCAGGTTAAGCGTAAAATGGTGGGGGTGCTTTATCAGGGTAGGAAAGAAATTATTCTATTAGGGTAAGAGTAAGATGGTGGGGGTGCTTTATCAGGGTAAGCAGGTAAATGGTTGAGATACTCTATGAGGAAAAGCAGAGCCAGGTTTATATTTTTTTCTCCCCTAGACCAGCTACCCTGTGCCTCCCCTTTCCACCACTCCAACAACTGTTTTGGATACTTCTCTTCCCCCCTACTGACACACTTAGGAACCTGTCCACAGAAACACATTTAGAACCATAGTGACGCAACCAGAAACATGGCAGAAGGAAGAGAAGAGTGGAGGTTTTGCCTAACAAACCTCTAAGTATAAATCCAGCATAAATTTAAAGAGGCCATGGCCTATGTGCCCTAGTGAGAAATCCAGCTGTGAGAGTGCAATGGTGGGGGTACTCTATCAAGGTGGGAAGATATGGTAGGGGAGCTCTGTCAGGTTAAGAATTCGATATTTGTGTAGAAGTATAAAAAAAAATGTAGTCACACACTTTCTGACAAATATCTATGAAGTAGAAGAGAGAATCCATTTTATATGGTTTTGGTTTTGGCTGGACTCCAAAAAAGAGCTTAAGATTGTAGCTTCTAATGGCAAAATGCTCTGGATTCCTAATTATACCCAATTATATTATGTTCATTTCATAATATGCAAAGTAGCTAGCTTTGCAAACCAGAAAACCAGAGTAGTTTTTTTCCTACACCTGATCTTGCACATCAGAGCTATTCCCATGCTGTTTCTCTGCCTGTCCCACTTTGGTGCCATGGCAAGTCAAGAAAAAGGAGAGACCACACGTAGCCCCTAACCTTTTAAACTTGCTGAACTTCAGGCTCAGAATACAATTCAACATTCAGAAGTGCATCACCAGTCATATCTGCTGTGCTGTATCTTTCTTAAAACAAATTTTTTTGATGATGCAGCTATCATCCCTAACGCTGAATAATCTAAGTGCACCATGAAAGTTCAGATCAGGCTAGCTTTACATCATCACTTCAGCATATGTATTGTTGTTCCCAGTAGCTGCTTTCACCTGGCCATCCCCACCCTGATGTGAGGCTAAGCCTGGGAAATAGAGAGTGCAGACTGCACTCTTCTGTCATTGCCCAATGTATCACCCCAAACCAAACCTCAAGAACAACCTTCATCATGGCATTCTACAACCAAATGCTGAGAATTGTAGATTAGTGTTTATTTCAAAATGAGCAGGAGATGTGCAGCCTGCCCTGCCTACCCCTGGACAAGCATCTGTCAAAGGAGCTTCTAGGTCCCTGGTGCCCAATCTGTGGCCAAAGAGCTGCATGCAGCCCTTTAATACACTTCTGGGCCCCTCAAACCCCAGCCATCAGGCATGGAAACATTGATGTGTTAAGTTGCAATGGCAGTGATCTCTAGCTGTCTTGGTTAACATGTCCCCAGTTTCTGACTGCTTGCTGCCTGCAGTATACCCTCATCCTCTAATCACTTCTGTGGCATGTCCTAAGTCTCTGACTGTCGTCTGCACTATAACCCCAGTCTCTAATCACTCCGGTAGCATGTCCCCAGTCTTTGATCATCTCTTGTACTATGTATTCTGTCCCTGACAGTTTTCTGTAGCATTACATATACTGAATATTATGTGCAGCCGTTTCGTGATGTCAGGAGCCGCAGTTGAGTATAATTTGACCACCACTGTTCTAGGTGCTATGGTTGACCAAATCGGCACTTAAATACTTTTACTGAAGAACATAATTTAACTGTTATGATGATCATGTTAGTCTGTGGGTTTAGCAGACGTTCTCCATGCCAGTATAATATTGCTGGGAATGATAATTATTGAGTAGAGGATCCAGTCTGGCCAGTATCCCCATCCCCATGTCTTGTGGGTCAGGGAGGTTTGCAAAGGTCTAAAAAAAAAGGTTGAACTCTGTCCATGCCGGGTGAATAAAGCATATGATCTCTACATTTCATTCTGCAGTGCTATGAACTCTTTGTCTTGGGTAATTTGGTGGGGACTAAATACATTCATTAAGTTGATGGATTCACTGCGATGTAGCAGTGCTGCTCCGTGCAGCTTTTTATTAGATATCCTAGTTGCTACACCATCCTACCGGAATCAGCAGGATCATACAATCATGCCATCTTTAATTTAAACCAATGGGTTTGCCCACAATCCAATTGTCAGTGTAATTTTATAGACTTTTGTTATATGAGAAGACAGGCCTGGAACAACAGACGGAGGCGTATGTGTAAGGCCTGCATGACTGGGTTTGTAGAGGCAAAAGGGAGGGATACAAGGGTTAATATGTTCATATAGATAAGGGGAGGTTATAAAGAAGTTATGTAAGCGTAATAATATGAGGTTTATTCACAGGAATCAGTGCCGTCTATGTGGCAGAATTCAGAGAGATTGTGTTACTGGACTATTGTTAATAAGTGCTGTGTAAGTGCAATGTAAAACAATTACATAGTCCCTAGTGAGGAGCGACATATCATATGCTTACCTTCTCTCAGATGAAGACTGAACATTTCATTACAAGTCAAGTGACTTGAGCTGTGATCTCTTGTTTATGTAACATGGTTTGAAATATCTAAACATATGTCGGAGCAGATTAGTAATAATAAATATTCATAATTATTTAATTAAACTTCATAATTGTACTATTACCTTTTACTATCTAGATAAAGGTCAGTGGTGAGCGCAAATTCCACAGCAACCAATGATCAAAGATACTGTATCTTTCCATGAGAAGATTATATTGGCCCCCTTTGCTAAGGTCGTCTCCTGCAATTTTCTTTTTGCCAGACTGCTATGCTGATCTGATGGCTTCAGGTCTTAACTAGGTTCCCCTTTACCTGGGCACCTGTCAGTTCCAATCACAATGGGACCCAGGCACAGATCCCTCGCTGATCAGAGCAGTACGGAATGGGTGTCACTGTTGTAACTTCCAAAAACGGAACTTTCTGGACCCATGTTGGTCTATAGGGAGTCGGATGTAATTGAACATGTGTCCGTTTACATCAGACTACCTCTAACCCATCACAATCAGGTCCACCAAAATGGAACTCTGTTCCATTTTGTTTTTCGGACCAGGCCAGAGTTAGGGGTAATCATATGTAAACGGACTCACGTCTGTCTAGATCAGGCTACCCATAGACTGCCATTGGGCTTCCAAATGGATCCACCTGAAAAAGGGACCACCCATCTGAAAGGGGCCTAAGTCAATTATGTGGATCAATTGTGCAAATTGAAAGCCCTGACTCCTCTCTAACCATTCTTGCTGCAACTCTTGCAAGTCAGTGGCTCAGAATGTTGGTGAAGCCACAAGTTCACCATGACAGCCCGGCAACTATCATTTCCAGAAGAGTTTAGCAATGGCAGCCTCCATATTTCACTGATTAAATGTTCATTATACATTTTTTCTAGTATATGCTTGACTTTTTATAATGGTTAAATCATGCCTTTCATACAGGTGGATACTGTACTGGTGAACTGCCTGGGAAGATAATACAGGATGCAGTCCTGGAGCTGTGTACAGAGGTATAAAATAAATCATATCATTAGGAAATAGAGTTTTTTAGTTAAAATGTACAAAAACAGAAATGACCAATAAAATGCAGTAACTTACAGTAGATAAATTATGGTTTGAACGGTAAAAGATGATTCCTGATTGGTTGCTCTGGGTTACTACAAAATCAATCTAACAATCATTGGTGGTCAAAGGCACTTTAAACTGCCACTAAACCCGGGAGTTAAAAATACATTAAAGTACCTTAACTATTAACAAAAATGTTTCTTATTTGTGTATCACTCGGCTGCAGATCCTCAAATCATCTCTGAATTCCTGACACTGTCCTTCCTTCTGGAGGGTGGCTACTTTTGATCCCCATGGTCCCTGTGTGTGTCGCTCCAAGCTCACTCCTATGATGGACTACAATCTCATGTTTAGTTAACTAATTTGTATTGAGGTTTTAATCCATCACAAGAGTGAGCTTGGAGCGGTGGATACTTTACAACACACACAGGGACCATGAGGAACATGTGAGGTCCGGTCCTGGGCACCCCCCGTGGAATATGGGGCAGTGCAGGGTCCCGGTGTTAGAACACCGGGGCCCGCACAGCCGACTGGGATCTCAAGAAATTTGTGGTTATATTAGTAAAATCTATATTGCACTTACATTGTATGCCCCCGAATTCCGAATTACAGCTAAGACGAATGCAAACGAATCCGAAATTCCCGTTTTCCCGAAATTCGTTATTGGACGAATTTCTTTGCACCATTGACACCATTTTACCTCTACAACACATCTATGATTAAAGTACAGAGGCTATAGTGTAGAGGTTAAAGCACAGGATTCCTATTGCTAAGGTCCTAGGTTCAAATCCCGGCCAAGTCAACTAATATTTAACGTTTTTTTTTTTTCCTTTGCTTTTAATTCACTTCAGAATTATAATGTATCCCAGTTTGTAGTTGTTCCACATATAAAACTTTGTTGGCCGCTTGTTTCCAATTTGAACACAAAAAAACGTTTACTGAATGCTAGAGATGCAGGTGTCTCATAAAACATCAGTATGGAATACTCTGCACACACACAAATCAGACAATCCTCTTGTATAATTATACTGCTACCAGTTTCACAGCTAACAAGCGATGAGAATAGCTTTCTCCCATAACAAGGGATGACGTATGGAAAATCTCTGTTTAAAAGACAGATGATTGGCATGGAGACAATACAACCGAATTCTGTGATCCCCCCCTAAAAGAACTCTGCAAGTGTGAGCGTTCATGTTACGGTTTGTGTTCCATTTTCTAGCAACCGTTTACTCCTGCTCTGTTATGTCTTTGTTACTATGGAAAGTCATATTCACTGCCAACTTTTTTGTCCTTCTCACACAGTTGAAAGATGATGCAGTGTCTCTAGTGGATGCCATCGCACCTCCAGACTTCATTTTAAACTCACCGATTGCCAGAGCTGACGGAGAGGTATATTTATTACACAGCATATGGTAGAAAATGTTCTGCAACATGTTCTTATGGGCCTCATTCACAAGGACGGGTGTAGACGGCTGTTTAAGAGGCTGTGGTAATCTCGCCTGGATGAGCACAGACCTGGAGAGCCCCACATACTGCGTATAGGGTTTACTGAACCCAACATGGAGCAATCATTTGTGTACACATGTGCTTGGCTGTTTGCTACATGCAGCGAGTATTTTAGTAGGGTCATGTCCTAATAAGATCCTGAGCACTGCACTTGTCCAAAGTCACTATCTCACTCCAAGAAGGTGGAGCACACATGGCCTCTTTACTGTTGGTGATCAGAGCATTTTCAGACAATCTATGAAATCCACAAGAAAATGACAGCTGGACAATGAAAGCTTGAATCTGATTGGTTGTTTTACATTATCAGAGGAAGTTCTTCCATTTCTCAGTTTTATACCAAAGCTTTTTCAAAGACGAGTGCAGTGACTATATGCAAGGTTCAATAACATACAGTAGCCAAACAGTTATCTGTATGCAGATCAGTGGATTAAAGTGGATCTAAATCCACCAATTTCAAGGGGAACTAGGCTCACCTTCCCTTTAGCGATGCAACGTCTGTAAGCGCCCTCACCGGCACTGACATCTTCTCCTGGATTTGAGATGTTTGGCCATCTTGATTGGCTGTGTTGGGTGGTCATAGCTTCTGTGCAGGAGTTCATTCATCCCAGCATATGCGATAATTTAACACTGAGCTGCATATGAGAAGAACAGACAGGTGAGGGGAAAAAGCAGGTAAGGCCCAGTTTACAATTGGGATAAGGGCTACATGTGAATTCTGGCAGCAAGAATCTGCTGATTCCTGTGGTCAGGATGGCAGGTGTGTGCAAATAGCTGCTGCCGCTCAGCCTACAAGAAGCAATGTCAGGTTGACCTTGACTACAGCATTTTGCGGCTGCTTGGATGTAGTCAGATATCCAGGGTTTGGGACAGATGATCATCCCTTGTCACAGCCTGCCTGTGTCCAGAGATGACCATGTGTTTTTAACTGCAGGTAATTGGTGGATGTCCAATTAAATCCAAACAGCCGGCAACAGCTACATTCACAGTCAACCTGTAATTGTTTTGTATAGGCTGAGCGGCAGCAGCTATTCACAAACACCTGTCATCCCGAGCCTCAGGAATCCGCAGATTCTTGATGCCAGAACTCACATATAGGCCTATTTTTAGCAGAAGAGACATAGAGGTCAATTTATCAAAACTGGAGCAGATCTGCATGGCAACCAATCAGCATCCACCTTTCATTTTTAAACCTTAACTGAACTAACTGAAAAGAGAAACTGATTGGTTGCCATAGGCAACTGCTCCAGTTTTAAAAAATTGGCCCATAGTATGTCTCTTCAATAAAAACCGTGCCTGACTGTGTTTTTTCTAGAGGTGCACCAAAATGAAAATTTTAAAACCGAAATGTAAAAACATTTTGGGCCGAATCCGAAAGTGTTTTTTCCTAATTTTTTAAAAAAAATTAAATATTTCATTTTTATTTATTTTTTTATAAAGGAATCCTCTGAGTGTTCCTATTTATTCATAACTTGAGGACATTGTATGTTTACTATAACCACAATCATGAATACACAGGAAGTGATGTAGATCACTCCCATCCATTCATAATTGGGGATCACAGTAAACATACAATGTCCTCAATTATTTACAAACACTCAGAGATCACTGATCGCTGAGTGTTTGTACTTGCTCTCCTTCCTGACAGCTGTTACAGGAGGCTGAGCGAGCAGTGCGGGGAGGAGAGCTCAATCTCCTGTGACCGCTGACTCCTCCCCCGCACCGCCGGCCTCCTGTGACAGCGCGGGCTGTCTCCGCCCACACACCGCTCTCCTCTGATCTGTCACAGGAGACTGAGCGGTGTGGGAGTAGAGACACCGGCCGCTCACAGCGCAATCCTCCTGCAGCGCTCGGCCACCTGTGACAGTTTCTCTCCTCCCCGCTGGGACACAGAACAGCGCCCAGCGGGGAGGAGAAAAAGCAGGGATGTGCCGCTATATCAGCAGAAAAATGGCACTTTCTGCATTTTGCCAAAAGTGTCATTTTCGGCCAATATGTTTTGGCCGAAAATGTTATGTTTTTACAGAATGTCCAACTAATTTGGGCATGTGTGTGACATTCTGGCTCTGTAGGGGTCAATTTCTAAGTGATAATGAACACAAGCAAAACTGTTATCTTCCAGGGCAATACATCATTAACAAATGTACCTATTTATACTTGTTAATGTCAAATCAAACTTGTTAACTAATGCTATGGGTATCCTGACACCCTCAAATAAACTTGGACATCCTGTGAAACGTGCATACTGAGCTCTCTCCCCATAAACTGCTGGACAGCCGGTAAAAAGTTTCACTTAAGTTGCGGCTTTGCTAGCATGACATCTGTTTACAGTCTAACTCTGATGATGTTTTGCAGCTGTACAAGAACCTCTGGTCCACAGTTCTACAAGGAGAGAAAGTGCTGGAGCGACCATCTTGGTGGGCAGAGTTCTGCGCTGACAAGCCTGTGATTGGCAAGCTGAGATCTCAACTGTGAGCTGATGTGTGTATGTGCCTCCAGATGCTGTGTCCTCTAAGGGTACAATGTGTCAAAATGATCATATCTACAATAGTCTGTTATGCACAAACTATAGGTTTTAATGACCAGGAGAAAGAGCAAAATGGAATACATTCCCATCCCACACCAACCAGTCAGAATTCACCTAACTGAAACCAGATCAGGGCAAGATGGATTCTGATTGGCTGTTCCCACACAAACCAGTCAGAATTCACCTAACTGAAACCAGACCAGCGTAAGATGGATTCTGATTGGCTGTTCCCACACAAACCAGTCAGAATTCACCTAACTGAAATGAGACCGGTGCAAGATGGATTCTGATTGGTTATTCCCACAGCAACTCATCAGAATACACCTAACTGAAACCAGACCAGCACAAGATGGATTCTGATTGGCTGTTCCTACACAAACTAGTCAGAGTTCACCTAAGTGAAATCGGTCCAGTGCAAGATGGATTCTGATTGGTTCTTCTGAGTGTTGCTCTTTGAGATTGGCTCTTTGCTTTGATTATTAAATATATGCCCGCTGTGCACTGTAACTATTTAGTTACCAGATAATTAGAGAAGTGATTTTAACCCGTATTTAGCAGCACCCTTTGCATAACCTTCCATCCAGTGGGCCATAATCATCACATGAATTCTTGTTTACATCCCCCATACAGCATATTGATGACTGTAACTTTAACCATTAATTAACGATCACATAGGACCTCGTGTACAAAAACAACGTGTATTTCCCATATTAACCATTCATTTGTATGAACTGCACTTGAAATATGACTATTAGAATGTGATTGGGTGGGGATTGGGGGATTAACAAAGCAATTTACGTAATTTTTTGTAAATATAGGCGCATCTTTCGTTTGCCAAATCAGCAATTCAGTTACACAAGTTCTGTTGGAGGGATTAATACAGACTGGTGCACACCACAAAATGTGCCAATTTCTTTATACCTGCTTAATTTGCACTTCCTGCACATAATTAAAAGGGGGACATGTCAGTTAGTTAATTTATTTCATGGTGGTGGTGTGCCAGATTCACGTGTGTGTACTCCAGTGTGCCCCGAAATTTTGGCTCAAATCTGCGGTAATCTTCCTCTATGATCGTGCTAAATTTTATCCTTCTCCTCTTCTCCATCTTGCATTGCAGCATCTCGCTGACTGTCGGTGCAGTGATGTATTCAGGATATGGCACATGCCCTGAGTGCCACTTGAAGGGGGGCAGGGGAGGGCTGCTCCGTGTGCAGCAGGGGAGAGCTGACTTTTTTCTCTCCCCACCCCTATCCCATACACCTTTCCCTGCGTGGCTCTTAATCAACCAGGGATGCTCTGGCCGCTGTCCCACCCAGCTCCTCCCAACTAGTAACCAGTGCCACAGTAATCATTACTGTCTCCCCTCCTAACTTGCCACTTTAGTAATGGTGAATATTTTAGAACTGTTTTTAAATTAGAACATTGGTGTAAGTGTTGTATTATTTTCTTCTGCACAGAAAATGCCCCCCCACCCCCCCATTTTTTGGTGCACCAGCTGTGCCGTATCACGTTAAAAGTGCTACACGACAGTTTCTATCAATGTCCGTCCGTATGCGCCAATGTTCTAATTTTAACAAATTTCTAAAATATTCACCATTACCAAAGTGGTGTGAATACTGTCATGAGGAGGGGCGACAGCAATGATCACTGCAGCAAGGAGAGGAGAGGGGGATGACTTCATCCTCTGCCATACTCTTCCTCAACTGTCTATAAAATTCAATTTACCTCAAAAAATTTTGGATGATCCCAGTGGCATATTATCTCAGTTTTGCGCCAAACTTTTGGCACACACTGCAGTAAACACGCTCATATCTGGTGTTTTACCAACATGGGACAAATAAATGCATTGGTACATTCTGATTTTTAAATAATTTAACACAGGAAGAACTAATTAGGCAGACATATAGAAATTAGCAAAAGTGTTCTGGGTCTAGCGCCACTGCAAGGGTTAAGCGCTCACTTTTGTCTAGGTGCTAAAAAAAAAAAAGTTATACTTTTTTGGACTCTACAGATAATTAGAGAAGTGATTTTAACCCGTATTTAGCAGCACCCTTTGCATAACCTTCCATCCAGTGGGCCATAATCATCACATGAATTCTTGTTTACATCCCCCATACAGCATATTGATGACTGTAACTTTAACCATTAATTAACGATCACATAGGACCTCGTGTACAAAAACAACGTGTATTTCCCATATTAACCATTCATTTGTATGAACTGCACTTGAAATATGACTATTAGAATGTGATTGGGTGGGGATTGGGGGATTAACAAAGCAATTTACGTAATTTTTTGTAAATATAGGCGCATCTTTCGTTTGCCAAATCAGCAATTCAGTTACACAAGTTCTGTTGGAGGGATTAATACAGACTGGTGCACACCACAAAATGTGCCAATTTCTTTATACCTGCTTAATTTGCACTTCCTGCACATAATTAAAAGGGGGACATGTCAGTTAGTTAATTTATTTCATGGTGGTGGTGTGCCAGATTCACGTGTGTGTACTCCAGTGTGCCCCGAAATTTTGGCTCAAATCTGCGGTAATCTTCCTCTATGATCGTGCTAAATTTTATCCTTCTCCTCTTCTCCATCTTGCATTGCAGCATCTCGCTGACTGTCGGTGCAGTGATGTATTCAGGATATGGCACATGCCCTGAGTGCCACTTGAAGGGGGGCAGGGGAGGGCTGCTCCGTGTGCAGCAGGGGAGAGCTGACTTTTTTCTCTCCCCACCCCTATCCCATACACCTTTCCCTGCGTGGCTCTTAATCAACCAGGGATGCTCTGGCCGCTGTCCCACCCAGCTCCTCCCAACTAGTAACCAGTGCCACAGTAATCATTACTGTCTCCCCTCCTAACTTGCCACTTTAGTAATGGTGAATATTTTAGAACTGTTTTTAAATTAGAACATTGGTGTAAGTGTTGTATTATTTTCTTCTGCACAAATTCCCCCCCCCCCCCCCATATCTTGGTGCACCAGCTGTGCCGTATCACGTTAAAAGTGCTACACGACAGTTTCTATCAATGTCCGTCCGTATGCGCCAATGTTCTAATTTTAACAAATTTCTAAAATATTCACCATTACCAAAGTGGTGTGAATACTGTCATGAGGAGGGGCGACAGCAATGATCACTGCAGCAAGGAGAGGAGAGGGGGATGACTTCATCCTCTGCCATACTCTTCCTCAACTGTCTATAAAATTCAATTTACCTCAAAAAATTTTGGATGATCCCAGTGGCATATTATCTCAGTTTTGCGCCAAACTTTTGGCACACACTGCAGTAAACACGCTCATATCTGGTGTTTTACCAACATGGGACAAATAAATGCATTGGTACATTCTGATTTTTAAATAATTTAACACAGGAAGAACTAATTAGGCAGACATATAGAAATTAGCAAAAGTGTTCTGGGTCTAGCGCCACTGCAAGGGTTAAGCGCTCACTTTTGTCTAGGTGCTAAAAAAAAAAAAGTTATACTTTTTTGGACTCTACTCCGGTCCCTGAAGCCTGTCTCTTCCTCTGTTGCAGCGATTGTATGTCTCTCGGCTTCCTCACGTCCAGTACACTGTGTATAGCATTGTGATGACTCGCAGGACCTTAGACCAGTGCTCCCCAACCTTTTTATCGCCGCAAACCGGTCAACGTTTGATCATTTTACCGCGGCCCGCTGAGGGGGGGACGTTGATTGTTTATATTTTAGATTGATTGGACTGACAAGACACATTTGCAAACAGGCAAAATACAGACACAGGCAGATACTGAGTGATCTGATTGGCTGGTCGCGTGTTGCCGCTTTGTGATGCCTTCATTGCATCGCACGCTGTGATTGGCTGGAGATTAACTTTTTCATCTCACGACGCTGCGCTACGCACGCTGTCGCCGGGCAGAGCGGGGGATCGGAACTCACTAGACACACTACAGACGAAGGACCGCCAGTCGCCGCTCGCCTGTGCGCCGCGCTGCTTCGACTGCAGTGTGTCACGGCCTTAAACCTCTCGTCCATGGAAAGTCGCACACGTTCTTTGGGCGGCCTGGTACCATTTGATCCACGGACCGGTACCGGTCCGCGGCCCGGGGGTTGGGGACCACTGCCTTAGACCACTGCAGCGGAGGGGGAGAGAGGCTCCAGGGACCGGTCTAAAAGCAAGCTGGCTTTTTTTTTTTAGCACCGAAATGAAAACGAGCACTTAACCCTTGTGCAAGGGTAGCCTCACTGCAAGGGTTAAGAACACTTTTACCTAAAGTTCTGCCTATTTGCATATTGGTTCTGTTCTCCTGCCTTTGTCTGCCTCACCCCTCTCACGTGTCATCTTGTAGCAGTTGGTTGGTGAACGTGCTTATGACTCACCAATGGCCATTTGTCATAAAAACCGAACCAGACTGAAAATGACTATTATTTCATCCATGTCATGTGCTACAGACCTGCCAAGAACTTTTTTCTTTATTCCTGAAGATTTCCTTCCTTCAGTTATGGAAAATGTCAGAACATAATTTATATCTGTATCTTAAATGGACATACAGTGAGGGGAATTTATCAAAAGTGGAGCAGCTAAAGTCTGGAGCAGCTGTGCATGGCAACCAATCAGCTTCTCTCTCTCATTTTCAAATCTTAACTGAACAAACTGAAGAGAGAAGCTGATTGGTTCTCATGCACAACTGCTCCAGATTTTAGCTGCTCCACTTTTGATAAATTCCCCCCAGTGTATTTCCATTGCCCAGCTGCAGCTGTCAAGATATAAAAGTGCTGATCACTGTATGCAAATCCTTTGTGGCTCTTCTACCCATATTTCCTTTATCTTCTTACACGGCTCTGAGGTATGATAATCCTCCATCTCTCTGAAGTATAATATTTTTTTCATGCTGCAGCAGACGGTATGGCCTTATAGCAAAGGGAATATGACAACACTGAAGCGGAGGATGAAGTCATTCTAGGCATGGTCTCAATGTCATTGGTCTTTAATATAAAGGGGGCCGATAAAGGGAAGGAGATATAAATTCTCAGT